TAAGTTAGATTTGTTTACATACCTTGGCCAACATGCGGATGCGATTCCTCTTCGATCCGTCCATTGATCCTTCCCTTAGCCCTTTTTGTTGCCTTATTCCATTCGTACAACGACTCTTAACCAATCGTGTATTGATGGACCAATCTCTATCGTTACTTAGCCATACATCCAACCAACCCCACTGGTCTAAGTCCCACGATAGAGATTGGGGATCGTACGTTTCTCTTGGTTCACGGTGGCCGAATCAAGCTCTTGGCTCATTGGTCCATCCGTCCTCCAAACGTACGCCCCTTCGGTTTCATGGTGGACGATCAAGCCCTCGGCTTATCGAACCATCCATGTTTCCGATCCGCTCGTTTATTACTACGACCGCCCACGGTTTACTAACCGTTTAACCGTCCGATCCATGGTGGTCGGTAAAGCCTTCGGCTTATCGATCCATCCATGTGCTCCGAACGATACCATTATCACACCCAAGGGTCCGTGGATTCATCCATCGGATTATCGTAGGCTAGCCCATGAAATCATTCGTCCGTCGGCCTTTGGTTTTCTCACGGGTCCAACATCCGTTTTATCCATCGGTTCTCACCGTGGACTTTCCCGTTGGTTATCCGTCGAGTCACCATTGGTCTTTACCGATTTCCGATCGGTTTCACCAAGGCTGCGACGTTTGATTAATAAAGGCGGCCGCGATATTTGATCCTTACATGGAGAACCACGTGCCTTACCCATTCACGGTGCTTTCTCCCTTTCTCGGTGAGATTGCATCCATGGGCGACCCTTGGGTGTGTTCGGTTGCACTTATCCTCGTGCTTCCTCGAACACCTTTCCCTTATTCGCCTTCCCGATTAACTTCCCGTTAACCATATCATTCTATCGGTCTATCTTTAGATACGTCAATACTTCCGTATTGACAATCTGAGATTTACCGATCCATTTCCTTTCGTGTCCTTCCCTCGACGATCTGATTTATAGAACGGACGATCCATCGATCCCATAATCGAGCTATCGATCCGAACCATCAATCGAATCGTCGAACTCTCCGTTCATCCCACTCCTTGATCAAATTGTCGTTCCATCGATCCGATCCATCGATCGATACCACGATCCGATCATTCGGTCGACCCGACCATCTTACCCGATCCGATCCGTCTCTCCGACGAACGATCCATCTGTTTCGATCCGTCTCTCCGACGATCGGTCCGATCAATCCATCCAAACATTCCATCGAACCGTTGGATCGGGAGGTAGCATGCGCATCAGTTCGGTCGAGGCTCCGAGAATCCATTCCGATTCCGGAGATACTCGCCGAGCCGCACCCCCTTTCCGACCAACAACTTCGTGGCGTGTTTAGGATTTGTGTTGGGTTGAGATCGTGATTGTGAGGTGTGTTGGGATGATTATGAATGCCTTGGGCGTCCTCCCTTATATAGGGGGCGAATGGGTGTGTTTCCGAAACATCACATCCGTTCGTTGCACCCTTCCGAAAGGTTGTGTCTTTCCGATCGTAACCGTTCGGCCTTATCCACCCTTTGGCCAACGGTAACCGTTCGTAGGTAACCGCTCGACCTTACACCTCTTCATCCCGAGCTACCATAGTCCACCAGCTCGAGTGGCAGCTTACCGGACCACCCAGCTGGGTCAGTACTCGATCAGTTCACCGAGCTCGGTTGAGCTGCCGGTCAGCTCACCTAGATGAGCTAGCTAGTCCTCCAGCTGGTTTAGCTCACCTAGCTGAGCTAGCTAGTTCATCCAGCTCACCTAGCTGGATTAGCTCGGACAGTTTCGTCCGTTCTTTTCGGCTAAGTCTTTCGGTCCGTTTTCTCGGCCTTGACTACGCCCTTTCCATTCTTTCCATGATCATTTCTCCATGATCACTAGATTATCCCGAAACCGTCTAAGTCATCTACCCTTTTCATGACTTAAACGTTTCTTTCGTTCCTTGGGTTAACTTGTTCATAAGTCTTTCTCGACCATGATCTAGGTTTCCCTAAAACAAACCGGCCCCCTTTAGGATCGCGGGACGCGGACGTTACACATCACCTAGCGGTACTTTATTTCTTTAATTTAAATCATTTTCGATTATAGATCGTTAAGTTAATATCAAAAAATTTATTATCACTTTGTAGTTGCATCATCAGCTCATCAATGATATTAGGGATGTTAATGCTGGGTAAAAACCCAGTGGGTACCCGAAACCCGGTTATAATTTTAAGCCCGGTACCCTGAATTTTCACATTGTAAAAACGCGGGCTGGAAATGGGCGGGTCTCATTTATACCGGGCTTTACGTGGGTTTTACCCTATCGGGTTTTGGGTACCCACGAGTTTTTTCTGATTTTTCTATTGCATTTTTATTCGCTTTAATTTTTGATTTTTATTTCAATTTATTTACTTATTCACATATTTATGTTACTAAAACAACGTCGGTTATACTTTCTCCCCCAAAATCACAGAGACAAACCCTAATTCCTATTTTGACAAAGACAATTGCGTTTCTTCTTTGAAATCGATCTCAAAGTGTGTTTCTTGGGTTAGTGACCATTCATCTTCTCTGTAATCAGCAAAGATTCTCTCCCTCAATCGATGAAACTCACTCATCTTCTCTCTCAGTTTCGCTCTAACTCCATTAGTTATCGAAGTTCTTGTCCTGTCCACGCAAGATCCTTCCTTGAAACTCGTACGATTCACAACGTTTCTCTTCTCAAGAGTCTCGATTAGGGTTTTGACTGTGTTGGCCTTACGAGAGATGGTGACGATGTTTGATTCCATTCTGTCTCTTAACCCACGTGAGTTGATTTGGTTATATGGTGACAGAGATTAGTGAATTGGGCTAGCTAACTTCGGTGTCTATCATGATTATATGCAAAATATAAAATATAAAATACATGATTATATGCAAAATACATAATATAAATATATCACAAGTAGAAAAAAAAAGAATGTATATACATACAGAATATAAATACATATGCAAAATACAGAATAGAAATACATTTTTTTTTTTGGTAAGTTAATAGAAATACATTTGAGAAAGAAAAAAAACAATTCGGGTACCCACGGGTAGTCTTGGAATCCATCGAGTTTTTTCGGGTTTACCCACAAAACCCGAAACCCATTTGAGTTTTTTGAATTCGGGTTTTTGGTGGGCGGGCTCATCTCGGGTTCGGGTCGGGCTGGGCTTTTTACCCACAATAACATCCCTAAATGATATCCTTTCATGAATCTTTTGTGTCTTCTCCTTTCGGTATGACTCAACACTTGTCTCTTTTAACTTTTACTCATTTAAAAAAAATTATTGCTCTTAACTTTTAATTCTCAATCCATGCAAGTTTTACCTTTTTTCTTGTCAAGGTCACTCTTTGTTTTAATTTCTCTATTTTTCATATTTAAATGTTCTTGGGTATATGAAAAAAAATCACACGAGAATTCATAGAAATAGAGTTGAAATAAAGAAATAAGATTCTGGACACCGATAAGAAAGAAATGAGGTCTATGATTCGTAAATATGTAAAACTAATTACTTTTTTACTAAAAAGTATTGAATGTTTAAGTTAAACCAAACCTTTTAGATATAACCAAAATGAAAATTTCAACTCAGAAAACTGAAAGTTTCCTTAAGTTTGATTAAAATAGTTTTGATTCTAAATGTTGACTATACATTTTCTTCAATATAGGTGTCATTTTCATATTTTTATACTAATTAAAATAATATATATATATATATATATATATATCTATATAAAATCGGAAAATCCCATAAAAAAACTTTCAAGGTGGCAACCACTCACAATTTAAACATTCAATGTTTTGAACTCTCACAATAAACCATATCAAAATGACAATTTTGTTACTTTAAACTTTCGAAATGGCTTTCGTATCCGTGTTCCCACAAAAATTAACGGATAAATTGAATCCGTCAACTGAAATATTTGTTTTTCATTATAAATACTAATGTAACTTTAATAATTATTTCTATTTTAGTAAAAAATAAATTAAATCAAATTTTTATCTATCACTAATAATATATTTTAAAATTCGAAAAAAAAAAATTGGTTCTCAGTAAGTGAAAGCTTGCATATATTTCATGCCCAGAATTATAGATCAAACTACTAGATCATAAAACAAGGTTCTTGGCATGAAATTTCTAAAGGATTTAATATACTAAAAAGAGAAAACAGGAAATAAGAGAATAAAAAGAAGCCACTACTCACGGCAAGGCTGTATTTTTAATTTTACTAGTTGGGTTTAATGGGATAATTAAAAGAGGGACATGATCGATCGTTTATGTGCGATTTATAGGGTTTTGCTTGATCGTTTACATTGTTATCTTTCTAGCTAAGCTTTCTCTTAATGCATGTAGGTAGCCTCATGAACTAACTTTGATCGCAAGTGTTTGAGTTTCTTAACCGATTGCTTAAAACACTCGAACCTAGCTTACGAATGAGTATTGTGTTATAACAAGCACACACAACTTAGTTATAAGGCTTTATGAACTATAATCGAACATGATCTTATTGTTTTGATATATTTGTCGTTTCCTGTGTTTGTTAAGTAACGGAGTATAGAGATCAAATAATATATACTTCAAATATAAATATTTATTAATTTTTGATCAATTATCTAGTTATATATTACAAATAAAAGAAACTTAAAATTCAGTTATTTTGATTTTGAACTCAAAACATGAAGTCATGAACTACCGGAGACCAAACCAATCCCATCTGAAACATTTAAATGTTAGTAAACTTTTGAAACCCAGAAAAACTGAAATATCCAACCCCAATCGACTTTTCAAAGTTTATAGACCAACCTTCAAGACCTAGTTTATATTTGGTTCCAAGTTAATTAGTTCCAACTAAGTCCATGATACGAATTTTCCATACGCGGTACTTTATTATTTTTAAATCATTTTCGATTGAATAATTCATTTGTAGTCAGAAAATAAATTTAAAACAAAACTTCAAGTAGTATATATACTTGAAACAAGCTATTCCATCAATCATCACATCTGCATATTCAGAACCATTCTTCCCCACCTCTTCTTCGAAAAAAAATATGGAGTTAGGAAAATCAATTGAGAACCAAAACAACGTCGTGGTAAAACTAGCAAAGAAAGTCATTGATACCATGGCCAATGGCTCCAATGTTGTCTTTTCACCGATGTCAATCAACGTTTTGCTTAGCCTCATCGCCGCTGGTTCCAATTCTGTCACCAAAGAAGAAATCCTCTCATTCCTCATGTCACCGTCTACGGATCACCTTAACGCGGTCTTGGCCAAGATGACAGACGGCGGCACCGAGAGAAGTGATTTGTGCTTATCTACGGCTAACGGTGTATGGATTGACAAGTCTGTTTCTTTGCAATCTTCCTTTAAAGAGCTTTTGGAGAAATCCTACAAGGCTACTTATAGTCAAGTTGACTTTGCAGCCAAGGTAACTTTTTGTTGTTATCCATAAATTTTGCTTTATTTTTATTTTTTTCTTTTAATAACCGGGGTATATTATTCTCGTCATTTAAGAAGTTTCATGTTGTTTTATTTTTTCAATTTCTTGAGTATTTATTACATCAAATTTCATTAATGATTGGTAAATTTTTATCGTTTTGTCCTGAAGCCTGTTGAAGTGATTGATGAGGTGAATACATGGGCTGATATCCACACCAACGGACTCATCAAGGAGATTCTTTCACGCAAATCTATGGATACTATCGCGGTAATCCGTTGTAGCACACTTATTCTAGCCAATGCAATATACTTCAAAGCAGCATGGAGCAGAAAATTTGATGCAAATTTGACAAAAGATAACGATTTTCATCTCCTTGATGGTAAGACGGTGAAAGTCCCCTTCATGACTGATTACAAGAAGCAATATCTAAGCGACTATGATGGTTTCCAAGTTTTGCGCCTTCCTTATGTAGAGGATCAACGTCAATTCTCAATGTACATTTATCTTCCTAGTGACAAAGACGGATTAGTAGCTCTGCTTGAGAAAATAAGCTCTGAACCAGGATTTCTCGATAGCCATATTCCACAACACCGGACATCAGTAGATGCTTTCAGAATTCCGAAGTTTAAATTCTCTTTTGACTTTAAAGCTTCAGATGTTTTGATAGATATGGGGCTTACTTCTCCCTTTTCTTCTGGAGGTAATTCAACTGAGATGGTTGATTCGCCATCAAACGATGACAAGCTGTCCGTCTCATCAATTATTCATAAAGCTTGCATTGAGGTGGATGAAGAGGGAACCGAAGCTGCAGCCGTCTCTGTTGCCATCATGGTGCCCCTATGTTTGATGCGGAACCCGGATTTCGTAGCTGACCATCCATTTTTGTTCACGGTGAGGGAAGATAAGAGTGGAGTGATTTTGTTCATGGGTCAAGTTCTTGATCCTTCTAAACATTGATTGAACTCTGTCGTGTGATGAGCTGACAACGTCTCTTTCTCATTTTGCGTTTTGCCTAATAATAACTGAGCGTTGTTCGGATTCCAATGATGTAGGAACCCACTGCTCTTAGTGTGCTTTTCCATTATGTCTCATAACTAGTTGGAGAAAACGTTAAGCAATATGTTTGTTGTATTTTGTGTATATTTCTGGTTTGATGAAACTGAGTTTGCTGCTTCTTCTTTTTTATTGCTTTGTCTGTAAGAACTATAATACTAATTCTTGTCAAGAGAGATGCAAGATTTATATCTGTTTTATCTTATTCAGAAGCTATTGCTATAACTATAAGATAACATAATCATTGTTGTATGATGTGCCCACGGTCAAAGTAGGGAAGAAACCAACGCAGCGAGAATGAGAATGTGGTTGGTACGGTCATGGAGCAGAGAACTAATGCTAGGTAATAGTCAAGAAAATTCGGATGACTGTTTTTAAATTCACAACATATATATACTAGATCTATCATCAGTAAGTTACTTTATTCAGCATACTGCAAAAAGGTTTCAACAAAATATATTGAAAAAATGTATACGTTTAAATGTCTAATTCTAGGTAATACTCAATAAATATTTACACTTGAGGTCGAGTTTTTCATGAAGTTATGATAACTAAAAAGTCGTAAACGACGCTAAGTCGTTAATTAGTGTAAGATGTCGTTAGAATTTACAACGCTAATTGTCACTAATACGTCACTAATCTATTATCTACTTGACATTATAACATTAACATTATCAAATGATGTCATTTACATATTGCGTTCTTTTTTTTTTTTCTTTTCTTTGTTATATGTTACATAATCATTAAAACTATTTGATTTCTGTTATGATGTAGGTTACATACAACATATGCATTTACGATGAACTTCTTCTACGAACAACGATTCCAAGAAGCAGCTTTCCTGTAACTCTCGGATCCATGACAGATAGATCTGCCAGGTTCTCTCCGCAACACAAGAAACAACGACGAACGATTCTGCGTGCCACGTTGAAAATGACTCTATTTTCTTTGATTTTTTAGTCATCTAGAAACATTTATACATGTCATTTCTAGAGAAAATGATTTATTAAATATACTTATTTCAATCTTTTTGATATTTAAAATTGTTTTATAAATTTTTCTAATCTATAAATTTAATTCTCTTTGAAAGTTTTTTTCATTAAGGTTTTATTATTATAAAATTCATTTTTTTTTGTGGTGGTTTTGGCAACCTGATTGGAAAGAAGATTTTTCTATTAAATGGTTCATTTTCTTCTAATTTTCTTATTTATCGACAAATATATTTATAAACTTTCAGTTGTTTGTCTTGTACTTTTTTCTATCTTACCATTTTACACTTATGTTTATTCGTAAATATTAAAATGTAATAATATATTTTTAACAACTTTTTCATTCATGATTTTCAAATTTATCAATTTAAAATAATTTTTAGAATTATTAAGGAAAAACTACAAAATCTACCACTTTTTCACAATTTCTTTCAAAATCTACCACATTCATAACTTCCTTTCAACTCCTACCACATTTAGTTTTGAAGTTAGCAATTTGTCCTCCCTATTTATCTTTCTTATTTATTTTTCATCCCTATTTATCTCTCCTCCCTATTTATCTTCCTACCACATTCACTTCTCTATTTATCTCTCCTCCCTCCAGACACGTGCGCTTTAAACGAAAAACATTATATCTCCTCACACTAAACAATTAACTTTCGTTTTTGTCTCTAGATCTTGTCCCCGATTGGAAATTCTCTGTTGCGTCTAAATCTTGTCCCCGATTTCATCATCTTGCTTTATTATCATGAATCCCACATCTCGTCCACCAATTGTTCTCATTTAAGGGTTTCGAATTTTAATTAGATTTTTCACCATCTATTTTGGTCCACATATTAGTTGAGCATTATTGTCTTCATCTACCCGGATTATTGAATTTTTTTTCCTTCTATTGCAAAATAACAAAAAGATCCAGTTGTCCCCGAGTAAATCCAGATCTCTGGCGGGCAAAACTACACCATCTGGCGATGGACAGTCAAGAAAATTGGATGATAAAAATCATCACGCTCAACTTGTCTCTGATCTAATTCTATTACTCATTCGATATGAACTTGTCCCCGATCTAATTTTATTACTCATTCGATCTGAACTTGTCCCCGATCTAATTCTATTACCCATTCGATCTGAACTTGTCCTCGATCTATATCTATTACCCATTCGATCTGAATTTGTCCCCGATCTAATTCTCTTACTCATTCGATCTGAACTTGTCCCCGATATAACATATTATTTAAATAAAATTATATGCAACTGTAAACGTGCAACATTTATTGCATTCTGCTTCCTCTTCTTCCCACCAGTGCCAACTTGTCCCTTTATCTGACACAACAGTCTGTCACCATCAAGGGCAATTTCGTCCACAAATTTGCATGTGGCAATGAAATGTGGTAGATTTTGAAAGCTATTTCCAATTGTGGTAAATTTTGAAAGTCACTTTTCAAAAAGTGGTACATTTTGCAAGATTCCCAATTATTAATATATTTAATATGATATTTTATGTCTATTTCATTTAATGTGTGACTTCATCACTCATCACTCATGACTCGTCTCATGTAATTTCACTCAACCTTATATGGAGGCTTTTCAAAACGTCCGGTTTACTTTGGGTAGCTTGGTCACGATGTTATTTATTTTCAAGCATATCTCTTTTGAATGTCGATGAAATTGAAACATTGGATCATGAATTTGGCCGAAACACCTCACGAGGCACATGTATCCTTTACTTATAAGAGTTGAGATCAGGAATGGTGAAAATAAACGGCCTGGTTGGCGGTTGCCATATTCATGTGACGGAGCCAAATCCCAGACTTTTTTCGCAAATGGACAATGGATATAGATGGGAGATTGACTCAGATTCGCCACATCTCTTACACGCGGATGAGACAGATATTCCTCTTGAGACTAGTTGTTCTCCAACCGGTAAAGGGCCAGCAACAATTTTCCATAAGAAGTTTCTGAGCTTTGGGGACGTTTTAACCTTCCATATACAACTAGACCAATTGAAGTTATCATTAAAAGGAGCTGACTGGTTTTTCTTAATCAGTTGTATCCTGACTTGTAGGAGTAAACCCCTGATTTATCAGGTAACCACGCAAAAAAATCCTCAGTTTTGGAGGAACTAGGCCGAAGTTGACGGATCGCGTCCCCATAATGAGGTAAGCGGTGTCGGATAACTGAAACATCCCAATAATGGTTGGAGTCCTTTAATAAGAGGTCGCTAACTTTTAGATAAACCGTCTCTTTTGGTGCTGGTCCAAGGGGGACTTTGGGAGAGGAGGTTGATAACCAGGCGTCACTCCGAACCTTAATGCTCTCTTCATCGCCCACTATCCAGCCCAGTCCTTGACGAAGCACATTCCTGCCCGCTAAGATCCCACGCTAACCATGCGAAGGGTTTGATGACAATGAGCAGTCCATAAAGGGTTTTGAAGAACAATACTTGCCGAGGAGAACCCGCCCTAGAAGAGAGGCTGGTTGTTGAAGAATTCTCCAACTAATCTTGGCTAGAAGGGCGTCGTTGAAGTTTTCAATTTCGCGGAAGCCTAATCCTCCTTCAGGTTTAGCAGGAGAAAGCTTATCCCAATTAGAAACCCATGACATTTTCTTCTTCTCCGGGTTGTTATCTCACCATAAACGCGTCAGCGCCGTTTAAATTCTTTTGCAAAGGGAAATTGGGATCTTGAAATTTGACATGGTATAAGTAGGCATCGCAGAGAGAACTGCTTTCAGAAGTACCTCTTTACCCGCACTCGAGAGGAACTTAGAAGTCCATCCGTGAGCTTTGTGGCGAATTCTATCAACAATAGAAGTGAAAATGTCACTCTTTCTTCGTCCAAAGTGTTCAGGGAGGCCCAAGTATTTCCCGATACCGCCTTCTTTTGGAATGTTAACAAAAAGATATTTACAAATAACACAAATATGAAATAAACCAACGACTGGAATAAACCGAAAGTTGCACAAAAAACTCAAAAAATTTGTTTTTTTTCGGTTTTAAACTCAAAACCTAAACTAATCGAGAACTGAAGCAATATGATCCGAACTTTTTTTAACTTTGTATAATAGTATTATATAACTATTGAAACCCGGAAAACCTGAAACATCCAACCAGAATCGACCTGATAAACCAAATTTATAGTATTTGCTATAAGCCTATAAGATAAGATAATCTTCTTTGTAGGATGGGCATACGGTCAGAGTAGGGAAGAAACCAAAGCAGCGAACCAAGAATGAGAATGTGGTTGGTCTCGAAGCAGATGACTGTTTTTGATCTCACAACATATATACACTAGATCTATCAGTAAGTTACTTTATTCAGCGTACTCAAAAAGGTTTTCAACAAAAAATATCGAACAAATGTATGCGTCTAAATGTCTAATTCTAGGTAATAATCAAGACAAGAGACAGTTTTGCATGTACGATAATAATAATAAAGATAGTTCTGCATGTACGATATCTGATGGACAGTTTCTCTCCACAACACAAGAGACAACGACTAACGGTTTTGCCTGCCACGTTGAAAATGACTTTTTTTTTCTTTGATTTTTTAGTCATCAGAAAATCAGGTCAATTCGGGTTGGATATTTCAGGTTTTCCGGGTTTGTAAATAATTTTATACGAAGTTAAAAAAAAATCGGATGATATTGCTTCAGTTCTCGATTAGTTTAGGTTTTGAGTTTAAAACCGAAAATAACAAAAAATTTGAGTTCTTTGTGCAACTTTTGGTTTATTCCAGTTGTGGTTTATTTCATATTTGTGTTATTTGTTAATTTATATATTTTTTGTTTGTTTTCAGAATAAATTAAAATGGGCCAAAAACAAAAAATTCCAATAATATATACTCTCGATGTTACACTAATAAGAGACACTCAACCATTGAACTACGAGAACATTTTAATGTTTTAACAAACAGAACGTGTACATATACTAAAAACTGGCAACATAAATTAGGTAAAAATATATGCAACTAATTTAAAATAGTAAAATTATAAAAAAATTAATAACCAAACATATACAAATATTAAATATACTTACCTTGAATATATATTTCAAAATTTAAAATATTTATTTTTACATATAAAGATTTTATTCTATTTTGGAAAATTATTCTTTCCTAAATTATAAAAGCCTAAACTTATGAAATAAAGAAAATTAAATATATGACCTAAAATTTATACAATCCTTCTCATATAATTATATGATTAATTTTATGTCATATTTTTAATTTTTTTTATATGAGAAGAAATTTCGGAAGGAATAATTTTCCAAATATGGATGAAATCTTTATGTATAAAAAAATATTTGAAATTTTGATACATATATTTATGATAAGTATATTTAATATTTGTATTTTTGGTTATTATTATTTTTAGTTTTGTTTTTTTTTAATTAATTGCATATATTTTTAATTTATTGTATAATGTTATTTTTAGTATATATATATAGGTTCGGTTTGTTATAACATTAAAATGTTCTCGTAGCTCAATGGTTGAGTGTCTCTTATTAGTGTAACAGGTCAGCAGTTCAAATTTTCAACCTTCTCTTTATCTTTAATTTCTCGTAGTGCTAATGTTAAAGCGGATAATCTGGCACGAAAAGTTCGTAAATAACCGCTTCATATCACATATGTAAACAACATTCTCCAGGAATGGCTCTTTTGAGCTCTAATTAATTTCGGATGACAAAAAAAAAAAGTCAGCAGTTCGAACCTTTGAAGATGTCATTTTTCCTTCTTATTTTCTGGTGAAACGACGTCGTTTGAAAACTTGAAAACGACGTCGTTTTAATCCAACAGAGACTTCTAACGGATTGTTAACAGCGTCAGCATCGTTTTAACGGGGACTTAACGCGATGCCTTATTTGGTCAGGTCAACGAAAACTTAGCTATTTTCAGACAGGTCAACAGAAACTTTGTGATTAAAGATTCGAGAGTTCATGCTTTAATCGTCCCAAATTTGAAAGTTGGCGCATTTTTCGACATTTTTCTCATACTTAAATTGTATTACAAGATGTAAAGTGTTAGGTTTAAATCGGGATTTTTTAAAAAATCTAAACAACTTTTGCGGATTACCATCTATGATTCAAATATAGTCAATAACATTTAATAATTATTTCTTATATGTGGAAAGAGTATGTAAATTTTTTTTTTCTAGCTAAAGATATTTGAGAAATTGTTAAAAATGCCCCTTTTTCAATACCCCTTTTCAAAAATGCCCCCTTTGAGAGTCCATTTTTAAGTTTGCCCTCTTTTAATTTTTAATGACCATTTTACCCTTATTTGAAACAAAATTAGGTCCACAAAATACAAAATATTTTTTGGCGGGAAAAGTGATCTCGCAATTTTCCCGCCAAAACACTTGTAAAAACCTTTAAAATATCTTGTAAAATTTTCCCGTAAAAATTTTTCCCGCCAAAAAATTTTTTTTGCGGGAAAAAGTGATTCCGCAATTTTTTTGGCGAAATTTTTTTGGCGGGAAAATTTTTGGCGGGAAAAATTTACAAGGTATTTTAAAGGTTTTTTACAGAGTATTTACAAGTGTTTTGTAAGGTTTTACAATGTATTTTAAAAGGTTTTACAAGGTACTTATAAGGTTTTATAAGGTATTTATAACTTGTAAAACCTTATAAAAAACTTGTAAAACCTTATAACTTGTAAAACCTTATAAAATAGCTTGTAAAATCTTATAATATCTTATAAATACCTTATAAATACGTTGTAAAACCTTTTAAAATACATTGTAAAACCTTATAAATACCTTGTAAAAAACCTTTAAAATACCTTGTAATTGTTTCCCGCCAAAAATTTAACGCCAAAAAAATTGCGGAATCACTTTTCCCGCAAAAAAAATTTTTTTGGCGGGAAAAAATTTTACAAGGTATTTTAAAGGTTTTACAAGTTTTTACAAGTGTTTTGGAGGGAAAAATTGCGGGATCACTTTTCCCGCCAAAAAATATTTTGTATTTTGTGGACCTAATTTTGTTATATTTCCTTATATATTTGTGATATATTTTATTAAAAGAAGGGTAATTTAGTCATTTTGTACATAAAAAAGGGGTATTTTTAAAAATGGACAGCTAAAGGGGGCATTTTTGAAAAAGGGTATTGAAAAAGGGGCATTTTTGTGAGTCTCCCAAGATATTTTCTACTTCTATTTTAAACATATTTCTAAATAACATTTAGCTAAGAATCATTTTATATCAATTTTTGTTAAATTTATTATTATCATAAAAATCAAACCCACATATCGGGCGTGTCTTAATCTAGTACTAGGTAAGGGACCCGTACTATGTAGGGGTTAAATTTTATACTTGAAATTTATTTTTTATTTGATGTATGTATTATAAATAGAGAATCGATGAAGAAATATAAATTTGTTGAGTTTGACATTATTTTGACGACTTGCTAATGTTTTTATAATATTTTTTAATTTTTATTGAGTGTGACATTAATTGAAATATAAATACAATTTCTAACTAGATAACATAGAAATTGTTTTTATAATCTTTTTCTTTTTTGCAAAAAATTGTTTTTGTAATATATTTTATAATTAATTGTAAATGATAAACATATTTTTTATTATTTTCTATTAATTCATGTGTAAATGCCAAGTAAAGAGATGGAACTTTACAATTTTTGGTCATATATAGTTTAATTTAGTTTTTCAATTATAACAAAAAATGTATTTTAATATTAATTCGAAAAATCTAAATTTGGTAAGAAAAAATATTCAATATCTAAATTTGGTAACTTTATATATATAAAAATCTTTTATGTTTGTGTGACAAATGATTAAAAACAAAAAGATATATAGGTTTTTTATATTTAGAATCTAGAGTGTTTGGTAGTAAGGATAGTAGAACAAAAAAAAATTGTTGAGAAAAATCGTGGGATTGACACGTAAGATACAAAAATCTTCTTTTAATATATTATATATAGAGGATGTACATGTACAGTATCTTGACTTCCTAATTGATTAAAAAGTATTAGTTTGTGTAGTCATTTGCATAAAATAATTTAAAACAAAATTCATTGCGCAATCGTTTGTTGGGGTGATGTGATCAGTCTGATGACTGTACAAAATTTTAAATAGTTTATCTGATGACTATTCATCAATCATCACATCTGCAAATTCAGAACCATTCTTCCCCACCTCTTGTGAAAAAAAAAGATGGAGTTAGGAAAATCAATTGAGAATCAAAACAACGTTGTGGCAAGACTAGCCAAGCAAGTCATTGATACCAAGGCCAATGGCTCCAATCTTGTCTTTTCACCGACGTCAATCAACGTTTTGCTCAGCCTCATCGCCGCTGGTTCTAGTCCCAACACCAAAGAAGAAATCCTTTCATTCCTCATGTCACCGTCAACGGATCACCTTAACGCAGTCTTGGCCAAGATCGCGGACAGCGGCCCCGAGAGAAGTGATTTGTGCTTATCTGCGGCTAACGGTGTCTGGATCGACAAGTCTGTCTCCTTGAAGTCTTCCTTTAAAGAGCTTTTGGAGAACTCCTACAAGGCTACTTGTAGTCAAGTTGACTTTGCAACCAAGGTAAGTTTTTTTTGTTATTGATAAATTTTGCTTTAATTTTTATTTTTATTTTATTATTGGTATAAGTTTTCCTACAAGGCTATTTTTATTTTCCTTTGTTATTGGTTTTAAATAGCCGGGGTAGATTGTGGAACTTACTGTAGAACCGCGAAATCCCGATTTAATGTAAAATTGAGTTCCAACACTTACAATGGTTAAGAGGGAAACACCTAGCTGATTTTCATATTGGGGAGTTTTCTATCCTCTCGAAGAGACAATTGGACATATGTTTCTTGAGTATATATTACATAAATTTTTGGAATGATTGATCACTATTTGGTGCTATATCTTGAAGCCTGGTGATGTGATTGATGAAGTGAATAAATGGGCGGAAGTCAACACCAATGGACTCATCAAAAAAATTCTGTCACGTGATTCTATCGAGACTATCCGTAGCAGCACACTTATTCTAGCAAATGCAGTGTACTTCAAAGCAGCATGGAGCAGAAAATTTGATGCGAATTTGACAAAAGATAACGATTTCCATCTTCTTGATGGTAACACAGTGAAAGTCCCATTCATGATCAGTTATGAGGACCAATATCTTAGAGGCTATGATGGTTTCCAAGTTTTGCGCCTGCCTTATGTAGAGGATCAACGTCAATTCTCCATGTACATTTATCTTCCTAATGACAAAGATGGGTTACCTGCTCTGCTTGAGAAAATAAGCTCTGAACCAGGATTTCTCGATAACCATATTCCACTCGACCGTATATCAGTAGATGCTTTAAGAATTCCGAAGTTTAACTTCTCTTTTGAGTTTAAAGCTTCAGATGTTTTGAAAGACATGGGGATGACTTTGCCTTTTACTTCTGGAGGTAATTTAACTGAGATGGTTGATTCGCCTTCCAACGGTGATAAACTGTACGTCTCAAGCATTCTTCATAAAGCTTGCATTGAGGTGGATGAAGAGGGAACCGAAGCTGCAGCCGTCTCTGTTGGCGTCATAATGCTCATGTGTTTGAGAAGGAATCCGGATTTCGTAGCTGACCATCCATTTCTGTTCACGGTGAGGGAAGATAAGAGTGGAGTGATTTTGTTCATGGGTCAAGTTCTTGATCCTTCTAAACATTGATTGAAACTATGTGGTGTGATGAGCTAACTAAGTCTCTTTCCCATTTTAAACTTTTTGCATAATAATAACAGAGCTTTGTTTGGATTCAATTATGTAGGAACCCACTGCTCTGCTCGTAGTGTATTTTTGTGTGTATTTCTGGTTTGATGGATTTGAGTTTGATGGTTCTTCTTGTTATTGTTTGGTGTATAAAGAGTAAAACTGATTCATAATAGTTTTATTTTATTCAGAAGCCATTACTATAAGATATATAACATAATCTTCTTTACATTATGTGCCATAAAAGCAGCGAACCGAGCTAATGCAAACAAGAATGAGAATGTGGTTGGTCTTGAAGCAGAGAACCAGTGCTGGGGAATTAATAGTGAACAAAATCCGGATGACTATTTGAATTCACAACATAGATTAGATCTATCAATAAGTTACTTTTTATATTCAGCATACTAAAAAACGTTTCAACACAAAATATTGAACAAATGAATGCTTCTAATTAATCTTAGATTAATCTCCTATGTGAAACATTGTACAAGTCATTTGAGGTCAATTTTTTCATGAAGTTATGTAGCATACTTTTGAGAAAGGAAGCAGAGGAACTCATGATGAAATAGACAGTCATAAACACCTCGTTAATTAAATAGTCGTTACTAAGTGACGTTTCCCTTGTACATAAATGTATGCTTCTAATGTATACATGTATTATGTACAAGGGAAATATATGCTTCTAATTTAAATCAATGTACATTGATTTTTACACCGTTCCATTTGAAATTACAATCTCTCTGCCCACAACAAGTGCAACGGTCCTTGGAGAAGTTGTCTGTTAAGAAGCAACATTTTTATTTCCCACAACAGCCAAGCACAACGCTGTTGGCAACGAAGGATACTCAAACGTAGTATGGATATACTCACCCTTAATGTTAATATAGTAACTTTTCAGCAACTCTTTTCAGAGATCAACATCAACACAAACCCCTGCTTCATCAAAACTTATCACAAGCTCCATGCATGATGTAAACGAAACATACCCGCTGGTCTCGCCAAAAACTGAACCCTTTCCACATGAACATCAAATGAGGAACATTTTTGAGCTTCACCCACATCCGCATAGATTTTATATACAGGCTACCTATCCATTGTGAGGCATCACCACGCACATGTAAAGCCACACAACATACGTCATCCAATTTTTCTCAAGAGGGTTAGAACCCACACGTACATTTTCGGTGACTTATACAAAGTTTAGGAGGTTTATAATTATCTACACTTATAACACGGATAGTTCTCGATTATGTGTGGTCTCCTGTACCGATTGGCTGATGAACCGGCCGAGAATGAGCGAGTGGTTGCCAAATATTATGACTGATCATGTGATCATCATACCTCAACATTGTGCAGGATGTAGCTTAGTTTCTCCACTCTCCGCACAAGATACAAACCACATAAGCCGGTATATTCGGGTAGTGCTTTTTTTGACCACAAGTGTAACAGTGCGACATGCGTACCTTATATAAAGATGTAAATGACTTTAATTTATCTCTTCAATATATCGATCCATGGTATTTCTTGAGAGTTTTTGTGCGATGGGACTTTTAATTAGATTTCTAGGTTCATTCCTCAAATAGACACAACGACATGCTGCAAGTGCACAACCAACAAGTTGTAAATCAATCATCTACATCATGAATTTGCGTTTTTTAATATTCTTCCCTCCTTTCTCTTTTGCTTTATCCTCTTTTTCTTTTAATAATTTTGTTTTTCATTTATATATAATATATTGAGCTTCTAGGCTCCAGCGAAACCTTTTTGAATTCATTTGTATTTCCTTTCCCACATGCCAAATGTTGTTTAATTATATTAGTTCCAGTTTAATGGTTTATCTTACCACAAAAGTCACTACTAAGAATACTTTCTCTTCAAATTAGTTTCTGTAACATGGCAACACGTCAAATCGTGTTATAGACTATAACCTATAACGGTCAAATTTTCACATCCCTCCCACAAAATACTAAATAATCTTAAAAACCTTTTTTATGTCAAAATAACCTTTTCACATAAGATAATGGGTAGGTAGTATGGTCTATTTAGTTTTTATTTTAAAAACAACATCGACTCTATTTTTGTCACGTTTTATTCTGTCATTTAATTATGGGTTTCTTACATTGTACTATTCGCAACGCGCAAAGTGATTGGTCTAAATGTGTCAACTTTGATTATTTGCTTATTAATAGGTGCGAGTCGAATCTCTGTTTAGATTATTAGCTATCAGTTAGCTTATTGCTTCCCTCAGCCTCACTACAAAAAAAATCACTACCATGAACTCTTGTTCCTTAAACCATCTCTTCATTTGCACTGTCCTAATCTTTCTCCTGTGTTTAAATCCAACCACAGCTGCCAGGTGTCATCCTGATGACGAGGCAGGTCTTTTAGCCTTTAAATCAGGTATAACCAAAGACCCTTCGGGTATTCTAAAAACCTGGAAGAAAGGTACTGATTGCTGCTCTTGGGACGGCGTCAGTTGCCCTAACGGCAACCGCGTCGTCGTACTCACTATCAACATAGAGTCTAATGATGCCGAAATCTTTCTCTCGGGCACTATCTCCCCATCACTGGCCAAACTCCAGCATTTGGAAGGGCTCGTCTTTATTAATCTCAAAAACATCACTGGACCATTTCCCTCATTTCTATTCCGATTACCACATCTAAAGTACGTTTACCTCGAGAATACACGTCTCTCTGGTCCTCTTCCGGCCAACATCGGCGCGCTAAACCGATTAGATACGTTAACCGTTAAAGGAAACCGGTTCAGCGGTTCGATTCCGAGCTCCATATCGAATTTAACTCGGATAAATTACCTCAATCTCGGCGGTAATCTCTTAACCGGAACAATACCGTTAGGGATTGCTAATCTCAAGGTCATGTCGAATCTGAATCTTGACGGAAACCGTCTCTCTGGAACCATACCGGATATTTTCAAATCCATGACTAAGCTCCGAATCCTCACTCTCTCCCGCAATAGATTCTCCGGGAAGCTCCCTCCGTCGATCGCATCGCTCGCGCCAGTTCTTGCGTTCCTCGAGCTAGGTCAGAACAATCTCTCGGGGTCGATACCAAACTATTTATCAAGATTCATGAAGCTCGACACACTGGATCTCTCCAAGAACCGGTTCTCCGGAGCCGTGCCAAAGAGTTTGGCCAAGCTGACTAAAATTGCTAATATCAATCTCTCTCACAATCTTCTAACTGATCCATTTCCTGTTTTGAACGTAAAGAATTACATTTTGACTCTAGATCTGTCGTACAACAAGTTTCACATGGAAACAATCCCGGAATGGGTGACCTCAGCGACGATCCTCACCTCTTTGAAGCTGGCTAAATGTGGAATCAAGATGAACTTAGATGATTGGAAAACAAGGCAAACTGATCTCTACGTTTCCATTGATCTTTCGGACAACGAGATCTCAGGGAGTCCGGTGAGGTTCTTGAAGGAAGAAGGGTACCTACGGGAGTTTCAAATGTCGGGGAACAAACTCCGATTCGATTTGAGGAAGCTGAGTTTCTCGAATACGCTCGAGACGCTTGATCTGTCAAGGAACTTAGTTTTCGGGAAAGTGCCGGCGAGGGTGGCTAGATTGAAGACACTAAACTTGAGTCAAAACCATCTTTGTGGGAAACTTCCGGCGACCAAGTTTCCAGAAAGTGTGTTTGCCGGCAACGACTGTCTCTGCGGCTCTCCACTTGGTCATTGTAAAGGTTAATGGATTCATTCATCGTGCGTCATGTTATATTGTTTTTGAATATCTTGTGTCAAAAGTAATCTTCTTCTTTTTTCTTTGTTTACTTTTCATTTTATGTTTGCTTTATTTACTCATCATATACTTTATAAACATTTTATCTCGTATATCGCCCACATAACAATTTTAAATCTTCTAAGAAAATTTCTTAACTACTCAACTCTAAGGGATATTTTTCTAGAAACCAAGTGCGCTCTATACGTATAAAACGAGGTGATATATATACGTGCATCGTCTATTTATGTCCACAAGTATCTCTATTAGTCAAGAAATTCTAATGGGTTTTTCATATTTTATAATAATATTTTATTATAATTAGGGGGAATCCTGTTATAACGGGTATATATTTTTTTGTCAACATCTTTAATTGATTTGGCTCAAAAGAGCTATCCCTTATTTACATAGGTAATATAATACGGTTCAGTACGAATTTTCTGCGCCAAATTACCCGTTTAAATATTTGCACATTGGATCATTTGCACATCACAATGTTCTGGAAAATTTGTCACTTTCTTTCCACAATCCATCTATGTAGCATTGATATCCATAATTGTTTGGCACATGTATACTTAATCTTTCCTGATTTCAACTACCCGTTTCCAATGGTCTGTTATTTACAATATGTAGCTCGACTTGAGCTAACTGCCACACTTGTGCGTCATTTTTCGCTAAAGGTATAACCTCTAATGAGTTTTTATCCTTATTTTCATAGATCTTATCATTTCTCGATTTACATATATACCAAATTATCCATGGATACGAAGATGTATCTAATTCTGGGGTGTCCTCCAGAATAGATGATCCATATTCGCATTGATAGAAACCGTGGGAAATTTCTCTAATGCCGTAGGAATCTGTATCCACGCTCGGGTATATTTAACATTTGATATTTTAAAGTTTGTTAATTTAGTTTTATTTTATTTTTTAAGTTCTTTTTAGTATACATTGCAAGAAATCATGTGATGTTGTATTTAATATTTTCGTAAAGAAACATATATGATACTATTAATTTTTATTTTTGTTTATTTATATTTAAAATTTTGATTTTCTTAATTTTTTTTATTCTTAGTCTATATAGTATTTCTCATCTGTATTTTTTTATAATTTATTTTATATTCGTCTCTATTCACTTTATTTTTATTTTTATGAGTGTAGTATTTTTATTTGTTATTTTTAATTTGCTAATAAAGTGAGTAATTTACATGAGCATTATAGCGAAATAAAATCTTATAATTAGATCTTTAATAGAAAATCTATATTCTAATGATATATACCTTCAAGGTAGCCACCTTAAACTTCTTCTCCTCATCATATGATTTATATGCAAACGTCTTCTCCATAGATTTTAACCAATTAAAAACGTCTTATAAATTTCGATTACCTTCAAAATGAGGAAAACCTACTTTGAAGTCTCCTTCACGATGATGTTCTTAATGCGGCCTTCTCCCTTTCTCATGTATATCAACGCCATAATCCAAGTCTGAACCATGAGAAAAAACATCCACTTCCACTAGAAGATGAATGGTCATCTTCAACTCTAGTCTCCTTGGCTGTATACGCACGTTCATGTTGTTGAAAGTCTGAACCATCTCCTGCATTTGCTGCCTCAATTCTGCCATCTCTCTACCAATACGCTCAGCGTGAGTTTGGTCAAGAGTCAATCATCTAGGAAACTCCATGATGAAAATTGTAAAACAAAGGATAGATGAAAACTTCAATCCAAGAACCTAGTTGCTCTTATACCATTCATGCTTGTAGCCGGAAGCTTTGAAGGAGTGAAAGATAAGAGATCGTAACATGACAGCTTCGACACTGAATTAATGCGTGTTGTGGGTTACTTAATTCTGAAACGACCAGAATTGTAACCAAGATAGATAGGAAGATCCGGATCACCACACTTTGATAAACTTTTGACCAAAAAGTGATTAAAAATGGTTAAGCTAACACCACACCTGTGGATGTAGGATTTGTTGGTGTCGGATCCCGCACCAGTAAACCGGGACCAACCAAAGATCGCCACGTAGTCAGGGTGAAGGCCCGTAAATAATAAAGCCCATTAAATCCAAGGTATACAAGATATAGTCGAAGTGGGCATCATCACGAAAGGAGCTCGAAGTGGTCCCATTTCGGGATATGACCCGGAATCAAAGTCAAGATGGTTCAAAGTAATTTGGGCCAAAAGGCGAAGCCCATGAAGATCGGAATCAATTCAAATTCAAACGTTGAGCATTAAACTCGAAGACCAAAACGGACACATTTAAGAGAGAATAATTGTGTTTAATTGAGAGTTAAATGTCGTTTGTCAATATAAATAAGAGGGCTAATAGCCATCTAAGATATACGCAATTTTTCTAGCAAATACACTATAGTTATTCCCATCACAATTCATAGCTTTTTGTCATATTTTTGTCCTCAAGAGTAATCATTCCCACTAAATAAACAAATATTCAAGTGTGCGAATCCGACATCCACATTTTGGCGCCGTCTGTGGGGATTAGAAGATTCTTGAGTTGTCAGATTTCTCTCATTCCGAGATAAGCAGCAATGTCTGGAGCAAGCATCCCTGACGCGTCAGTAGCTGAAACTCTTAAGGCCATGCAGCAAACCATGTCAGAAATGTCGCAAAAATTCTCGGATGTGGAAAAAGTTGTGGACACGCTTAAAACAACCCAGGTATCTCTTGGTCAAAGCGTCAATACTATTCAATCTCGTGTTCGTTCTTTAGGTGCAGGAAACACTGTGGGAGTCCGAAGAAGCATGTTCAGTACGCCGAACTCCCGTGCACGAAATGAAACCAACGAACAAACAACTTCTAACCCAACAATTCAACCGGATGTGGAAGAAGAGACGCAGCTCGGAGATGAAGATCAGCTTGTAGATCAGTATGATCAAGAGAGCTTCGATCAGCTCGAAACCATGAGGAAGGTTAGCCAGGAACTGAAAGAAATGAAGTCAAAGTTCCACCAGGCCACCAGTTCGGAGCCGGACATCAACCGAGTCATCGAGGAAGCTAGGCGAACTCCTTTCATTCCGCGAATTGCAAATTTGAGAATCAAGGATTCTCGGAAACTCAAACTGGATCCGTACAGTGGACTAGAAGACCCAAAGAGCTATCTCGCAGCTTTTCTGATTGCCGCTGGAAGAGTCGAATTGGATGAAGCTGATGAAGATGCAGGATACTGCAAACTCTTTTCGGAAAACCTTTGCGGTCAAGCACTAATGTGGTTCACTCAGCTAGAACCAGGCTCAATCAGTAGCTTCGATGAGTTATCGGCTGTATTCCTGAAACAATATTCTATCCTCATGGATAAAAGCGTTTCGGATGCTGACCTTTGGAATCTAACACAAGGGCCAAATGAGTCACTTAGAACTTTCATCACCAAGTTCAAAGGGGTGCTGTCAAAACTCCCAAGAATCTCGCAGCAGTCAGCTTTATCCGCTTTACGAAAAGGTTTGTGGCATGACTCAAGGTTCAAAGAAGACCTAATACTTCACAAACCAGACACAATTCAAGACGCACTTTTCCGTGCAAATAACTGGATGGAAGTAGAAGACGAAAAAGAGAGTTTTGCGAAAAGGAACAAACAAGCAAAACCAGCGGTCACTTTCCCTACCAAAAAATTTGAGCCCAGAGAGAACCAAGGACCTAAAAAGTTTGGATCGCAACCCCTCAACAATACCGTCGGGAAACAATTTCAAGGAAAAGGAAGGTCGAACACTTGGGTCCGTGACGAAAGTTTGTATTGTGACATCCATAAGGTAACCGGACACTTAACCAAAGATTGTAGTGTCCTCAAAAAGCACCTCGCAGAGCTGTGGGCCAGTGGAGATCTTTCTAAATTCAAGATAGAAGATTTCGTGAAAGAATATCACGAGGCAAAAGATACCCCTAAAGATCAGAATTTAAAAAGACCTAGGCAATCCAACGAAGAAGAACCTAGAAGTTCAAAAGGAAAAATCAATGTGATCATTGGAGGTTCCAAGCTTTGTCGGGATACGATCAATGCCATAAAGAAGCATAGGCGAAATGTTTTATTTAAAGCAAATTTAGGCGAAGAAATGGACTTTCAAGGCACGTCAATATCATTTGACGAAGAAGAAACATGTCACCTCGAAAGGCCTCATGATGACGCCCTAGTCATTACCTTAGACGTTGCCAACTTCGAAGTTTCGAGAATTCTCGTTGATACGGGCAGTTCGGTCGACTTAATCTTTTTAGGTACCCTGGAAAGGATGGGAATCAGTCGGGCAGACATAGTAGGACCGCCGTCTCCTTTGGTGGCATTCACAAGCGAATCGGCCATGTCTCTCGGGACGATCAAGCTGCCAGTTCTTGCCAAAAACGTGTCAAAGATAGTAGATTTTGTTGTTTTTGATAAACCGGCAGCTTACAACATCATCCTTGGGACTCCATGGATTTATCAAATGAAGGCAGTTCCCTCGACGTATCATCAATGCATCAAATTTCCAACTCCTAGTGGAGTGGGAACAATTCGAGGAAGTCAAGAAGCTTCACGAACGTGTTATCTGACCAGTCATCGACTAAAGATCCAATAGCAATTAACGAAACCTGCGAAGAAGGAAATTCCAAGATTTCCTAGTGGGCAAAAAGAAGACGATGTGGTAATCGAAGTAGTATTGGAAGAAGATAAACCAAATCGGAAAGTCCGAATTGGAGTCACTTTGACTGGCGAAATAAAAGAAGCTTTGATTGAACTTCTAAGGAAAAACAAGACGTCATTTGCATGGTCAGCGGCCGATATGCCTGGCATAGATCCAAGCATAATCTGCCACAAATTGAACGTAGATCCAAGTTTTAAGCCTGTGAAACAAAAGAGAAGGAAACTCGGAGTAGAGCGAGCAAAGGCAGTAAATGATGAAGTGGACAAACTATTAAAAATAGGATCTATAAGGGAAGTACAATACCCGGAGTGGGTAGCAAACACTGTCGTGGTCAAAAAGAAAAATGGAAAGGACAGGGTGTGTATCGACTTCACCGATCTCAATAAGGCATGTCCGAAAGATAGTTTTCCGCTCCCGCATATAGACCGGCTCGTAGAATCTACCGCTGGGAATGAGTTATTAACTTTCATGGATGCTTTCTCGG